AGGGACCAAAGGGAGGGAAATGGGGAGGGCAAGGGGAGATACCAGGAATGAAACTGAGCAAATAAATTATGTTATGTGCATGTACCAATGTGTCACAATGAATCCCACTATTATGTATAATTATAATGCATCAATTAAAAATTAAGAAAAAATGATCAGTACTTTCTTTTTAAAAAAAAAAGAGAGAGTGAGGCGGGGACAGAGAGAGAGAGAATTTTAACATTTATTTATTTTTTTCCTTAGTTCTCGGCAGACACAACATCTTCGTTTGTATGTGGTGCTGAGGATCGAACCCGGGCTGCACCAATGGCAGGCGAGCGCGCTACCGCTTGAGCCACATCCCCAGCCCACGATCAGTACTTTCTAAATTCTTTTTAGTCATTCCAGCAAGAATTTATTATGCCAGTGACCACATTGTTAAATAAAAATTCTAGGCTTAATTATTACTAATTTTATTTCTTTTAACCTAAAGAATCACTAAAAACCTTCAGCAACTGGTTTCTATCCTAAGATCAGTTATTTGGTTGTGTAAATCTGCTTCCTCTTGGCCTGACCTCTAGGGAGCTGTTCCTTATGCAGGCTCAGGAGAAGAGTTAATTGAATCTCTAACCTTGCTCTCCAGGCTTTCATTCCCTACAAAACTTTCTTCGGTTGAGTGACTAGTACATTTTACATTGTTCTGGTAAAATATTAACAGAATCAGCTTCTGAGAGAGCTCAGGACTTAAGCTCAAAACTGTGTTCAAATCCTGTCTTCCACTAACCAAATATGTACCCTAGAATAAGTGATTTAATTTCTCAGGACCTGCTTCTTCATCTTTAAGGTGGGAGTAATCATGACCTAAATCAAGAGGTTGCTAAAGATGAGGTCGGGTGACCCATTTTCTGCAACTGAGCACACAGTAAGCATGCAAATATTTGTAGATGTTTTTCACCAATAATACCCACATAGTGTTTAACATGTACCAGGCCCATGCTAAGTGCTGGGCATGCAATCCTGAGAAAGACAGAAACAATGCCATCCCTCGGAAGCCTATATTCAAGTAGAGAATGCTATAGATAAAAGCATACTGACAAAAAAGAATTACAAATAATTATGTGTTGCCATGGAAACAAAAACAAAACAAAAAAATCAAGACTACAAAGAATAAGGAGAGGGTAAAGAAAAGCTTCTAGGCTTTTGTAGACTTTTTTTTTTTTTTTTGTACCAGGGATTACTTAATCACTTAGCCACATCCCCAGCCCCTTTTTATTTTTTATTTTGAGATAGTCTTGCTAAATTGCTTAGGGCCTTGCTTAGTTGTTGAGGCTGGCCTTGAACTTGCAATCCTCCTGCCTAAGCCTTGGGAGCCAATGGGATTACAGGTTTGTGCCACTGTGCTTGGCAAGAAGTGTCATTTAAACTGATGGCTGAAGGATGACAAGGACCTGGTCATGCAGATAATTGGTAAATATTATTTCTAGGTGTGTCTGGGAGGGTGTTTCCAGAAGAAATCAGCTTTGAATTGGTGAACTGTGTAAGCAAATGAATGTCCCAACGTGAGTGACCACCATCCAATCCACTGAGGGCCTGAATAGAACAAACGGGCACAGGAAGGGTGAATTCCCTCTCTCACTTGAGCTGGGACATCCATTCTCTCCTGTCCTTGGACAGCCAGGTGCTCTTGGTTCTCAGACTTGCAAAGCCAGACCAGGACTTACCATCACCCCTCTCCAGCCTATTCTCAGATCTTTAGACTCAAATGGAATCAGCTTTCCTGGTTCTCCAAATTCACAGAACAGATTGTAGGACTTCTCAGCCTCCCAAACCACAAGAGCCAATTCCTATAATAAATCTCCTCATATCCATACACATACACACACATACACACATTTTATATGTATCTGAAGTTCCTCAACTTACTTATTGGGTTACATCCCAATAAGCCCATCATAAAATATTGTAAGTTGAAGATGCATTTAATAGAAATGGTAAGACAGAAAGATCTTACCATCAAACACTTCCAGAGAAGAAAAAAGAGACACATTTACATTTTCATTTTTTAAATAAGCTGAACACTCGTGTCTTGCCATAAATGTTTATTACTATGTGAAGTCTACACTGAGATAGCAGGAATAGTAGAATGCCGACTCAGTGTCTGATGCTGCAACCCAGATGAGGAATGAGGTGTGGATTAAAGAGATGATAGCAAAACTGGAAAGAAATAGACGTATCTGAGAAATATTTTGGGAATTACAATGAAAAGGACTAACTGATGAATTTGGTGGGGTAGATGAAGGAACAGTGAGGTGAATTGTGATACCACTTCCTATGTAAGGAAAACAAGATTTTGTTTGTTTGGTTGATTTGGGATTTTTTTCCGGGGTAGAGGAGGTGTTTGTTTTGGGCAACGATGGGGACTCCAACCCAGGGTCTCACATATAGTAAGCAAGTGCTGGACCACTAAGCTACATCTCCAGTCTAGAAAACAAGACTCTCAAGAAAAAAACTAAAGCTTCATCCTGAATAGGAGGGTAAAGTTTCAGGACACCAAGTGGAGGTATTAGGAGACAAATATCTGAGTTTGGAGCTCAGAGGAGAGGTCTGAACAAGAGGCATGAATTTAGGGATTATTAATATTAAAATATTAAAAGGCACAAGAACAGATGAGTCACCTAAGAAAAGAAGGTAAAGGGGCTGGGTTTTTGGCTCATTGGTAGAGCACTTGCCTGGTATGTGTGAGGCACAGGGTTTGACCCTCTGCACAACATAAAAATAAGTAAATAAATAAAGTACTATTGTGTCCATCTACAAGAGAGAGAGAGAGACAGAGAAAAAGGGAGAGAGAGAGAGAGAGATAGGAATTCCCATGGATGAAGGTTGAATAGAGAAGAGAGAATCAGCAAGTAACATGTAAGTTGAAGATGCATTTAATAGAAATGGTAAAATAGAGGAAGGAGAGGAAGATGACTGCCATGTTCCCCTCATCCTTCAACCAAAGCTAAAATATCACAAGTTTCTCTCACCATTCCTTAAACATTGAGGATTTTATTCCCTCATTGTCCTTTGGTGCCACTGCAGAAGAGATAGTGTCTTGTTTTATGGGAAAGAGAGTGAGTCTTCGGTTTATTTCATTTTTATATTTGTTCAGTTTTCTCTGAAAAGTTATAAAATAAAATTAAAACAACTTATGTTTATGATAGGTTATCTGACCTCCATGGGCACAGAAATTCTAACTTTTAAGAAAACCATTCTTCCAAAGTTAAATGTATTCATTGGGTCTATAATTTTTTTGTTGCTTGTTTCACATCTTGCAAAATATCTTGTGATTTTAATTTTTCATTGGGTCTATAATTTTTAAAAATCAGAAACATTGTTTCCCACATATTTTTAAATGACACATAAGATAATAAAGAATAACACATGTCCAATATTTACCCACTTCATGAAAGAAGACTAAGAAAAAAATCTATACAAGGAGAATTCATGTACCACTTTCTCAAGCTTAGACCCACTGATATTACTGTCATTAGAGAGGCCAATCTTATCATGCATGTGAATTCCATTCTACTAAAAGCAAAAATGTTCTTTGGAAACCATTGATTGTTTCAGAGGATTATCACCTGCAAAACTAGAAAAGGATAAAATACTAACAAGGGTAAATAAATAACCAATGTTTATTTGTATCATCAGTAAGCATTAAATACTATATGTAAACTGAGACAAAATCAATCTCATGGGTTAATCCATAGTGTCAATCAAGAAGTCTATTCAACTAAGGTAAAAAAAATTCTTCTAGCAAACAAATTATATTATAAAAATCAGCTACTTGGGACTGGGGTTGTGGCTCAGTGGTAGAGTGCTTGCCTAGCATGTGTGACATACTGGGTTCAATTCTCAGCACCACATACAAATAAAATAAAATAAAAATTCATCAACAACTAATAAAAATTTTTAAAAATTTAAAAAGTCAGCTACTTTGTAAAATTTTAAAAAAAATCCTGCTGTCACATACAGCTTTCTTCCACATAATCTTATGCCCATATAGCACTTACCTGTTTGTATTAGAAATAATTTCTATGTCTCTGCTTACCTTGATAGAGCATGAGCTCTCAAAATCATATCCTTTCTCTAGAGATAGGCCAGAACCTTCAAAGACCTCCAAGTAAAGATCCATGATTCACCTCCATTAGAATCACTTGGAGGATGTTTCCAAATGCAGATTCCTGGGTCTGATTTACCCAACCTTTGGAATTAATGTAGTATTTGTGTGGATTTCTAATAGCTTTTATAAGGTCTTCAGAATGTACCAGGGAGATAATAAATCCAAAAGATGTAACCTAAGAGCTATGCACTGATAGTTCCACTTATTGACTCACACAATTGTTCAGAATCTTCTGCCATGAAATTTGTTCAATGGAGGAATAAAGGAGAAAGCATCACTCAGAGAAGCTTTCATCTTATAACTGAAACCACTTGCTACTATTATATTATAGCAGTACTTATTTTCCCTGAATCCAAGCAAACAATTTGGGGATTTTAAAGTTAGAGACCTTAGAGATTATACCTGACATAAAATATGTTAGGAAAAAGATATACCAAGGTATGTTAAAAACATAATAGGTTGAACAGTCACAGCGTGAGTCCTGTCATTTATAAGAGCAATATTAAAAACTCTAAAATTATTAAAATCTCAAACCTTTCTTTTTCTTTTTGCTTTTTTTCCCACATTTTTATTGGTACATTTTAATTGAACATAATGGTAGAATTTGTTGTTACCTATTCATACATACACAAAATATAACAATATAATTTGGTCATTGTCATTTCTTAGTATTTCCCCTTTCCCCCTTCTCCTCCCTCACCCTGGTCCCCTTCCTCTTATCTTCATCAAATTTTCATGAGATTCATCCCCCATCTTTCTTTTCTTTTTTCCTCTCTACCTTCCACATGAGAGAAAACATACAACCCTTGACCTTTTGAAAAACTCCAAATCTTTTCAATGACAAAAATATTCATCCTTTGTTTCATAAAAAGGTTTTTAAGGAAACATATTTTAAATATAAGAAATATTACAAAATTACATAAAACAAATAATTTATTTTTTGATCAACGCACAACTAAATTTCACATCTATAAGTAGAAATATAATAAACAATATATCCTAGAACGGTATCAAAATAAAATTCACAATTGATTAGTAGATCCCCAAAATCCAATCTCAAAAACATTAAGTACATGTTATGATTTTTACAAATGAGAAAGCCCTTTTTTAAAAAAAAAATAGAATATTTTACCTATATTTTTGTATGGCACAAATGGTTCAAAATATTAAATGTTAAATCAAACCAACAAATTTCTTCTTTTTTTGTTACTGCTTCAAAAATATTTATAGCTATACCTAAGTCTTATAGAGACTTACTATCTCTGATTGAAATAAGAATGTCATATTTACCTTCCACCCTCCTAGCAGATAATAACCAGGAATCATTTCTTAAAACTAAGTTTTCACTTAATAATACAGGCTATACCACTTTATATAGTTCACAAATTAAGAAACATTTTATAATCATGATATATTTAAGGACTTGTAACTACTTGGTTATCTCCTTTAATCTTTTTCAAGAAAATAAATGTGTATTTTAAACAGGGCACTAGTACTTGGGACTGTAAGTCGAATATCATCACCTCTCTCTTTACTCACTAATAGCTTTGGTAAAACACTTAACCTGCCTTCTAACCTAGTACCTCCACCAGAGTAATAGCAATACTCTACTCTATTTGGTATCTATTTTTAGATGCATCAGAGAGTGAAAAAGCCATTATATAATTAATCTCTTACATCTTTGGTGGACAACTATGCTCTATTTAGAAGGGCCATTATGTTGCAAACTCTATTTTGCAGATGAAATTCATTTAGCAAATATGTTAATTCTGGATAGGCAAGGATAACCACAGGAGACCAGGAAGATGAGCAATAACATGGGCTCATGAAGTCTACTTTCCTTGAAAAAAAAATGTTTATTTGCTCAAATTAGAGAGGGAACGTTGTAAATTGTACATCATTTGGGAAGACTGTTATCTCTTTTTCATTTTCAGTCACATTATATTATTGGATATAGCAGCTCCAGAAGCTAACGGATTATTGCTTTTATAATTGAATTCGTAAAGTTTCACGTCATGAAATTATATAATTACGTTTTGAAACATCACAGAAGCTCAAAATATATCTATTTGTAATCATCATAATGTGTACATCTGATCAGGACCCAGCTATGTTCAAGGCCCGGTTCAATCATCATCCATATTTTCTGCCACAATCAAAGAAAACACATTGTGTTCTCTTAATGACCACTAAGAGAAGATGCTGTCTTGCAATGAGAGGAAATCATGAACAAATAAAATAACCATCCTTCATTGGGGAAAAAAAATCTGCAGAAAAAATGAGAGTCCTGAAAATGTCTAGTGGCACTAATTAAATGAATGTTTCAAAACAATGATTTGCCCCATTGTAGTACCAGCAGCAGAGTAGCCCACAATTATGTGACTGCACTAAAAATAGTCTACTCCTTTTTCTGCACAGTGAATTGCAAAAAGGCATAAAGTTCACAAATAGATGTATTTTCAGGTATGGGAACAAAATGACATAAAAGATGACCTTGTTATCAATAGATGTTAGAGTTAAGAACATTTCAAGGAAAAACCCATTAGTATACAAAGCACTTGAGCCCAGCTGAAGTCCTCAAAAAGAACAATATCCCTTTGAACAGGGACAAGAATAATCAAGCTGTACATGGATGTACCTTACATCAAAGTTCTAGAAAGATCATTGCTAAGAATACATCCCATAAACCACAGCGTCAAGTTTCAGTCTTCATGCATGCCCAGAAAAGGAGAAACTGGCATCCATCAATAATAAACAATAAATCAGTCGAGCATGGTGCCATGTGCCTGTAAGTCTCAGCTATTCAGAGACAGTAGGATTGCTTGGAAACCACAAGTGCAAGATCAGCTTGCACAATGCAGCAAGACCTTTCTCAAAAAAAAAAAAAACTTTTGAAAAATAATGAAAAAACAATTAATCATTTCAAATCTAACATATAATTCCAAGAAATTTGTTGGAGGGGGTGGGAATATGCTGGGGATTGAACCCAGGGCCTTGTGCATGTGAGGCAAGCACTCTTTACCAACTGAGCTATATTCTCAGCCCAAAAAATTATACTTTTGTTGTTTAAAATGTTTCTATGGGTCTCCTAAATCATATAACAACTTTCCTATTCCTAAAAATATCAGCTTTTTTGTATAAGATAAGTGGTATTAAGACATAATAGTGCCAGGTGCAGTGGCACATGTCTATAATCCCAGCAGCTTGGGAGGCTGAGGCAAGAGGATTTCGAGCCTCAGCAAAAGCAAGGCACAAAGCAACTCAGTGAGACCCTGTCTCTAAATAAAATACAAAACAGGGCTGGGGATGTGGCTCAGTGGTCAAGTGCCCCTGAGTTCAATCCCTGTTATTAAAAAAAAAAAAGACAATAATAGGTATTTTGGGAACCTCCAAAAGAAACCCATTAAATGAGTACTGACAGATTACAGACTGAGCTGGATCCTATCTTCCTATCTTAAAATACCAGGCAAAAACAATAAAACAATCCATATTCTTTAAGGTACTTTGGTTACATAATAATAGCTAAAACAGCTCTGTGCCCATTTCAGATTAATATTAGCTTCACAGCATTAACATCACATGACAGGGGAGTAGATGGCAGCAAAAGAAACCTTTTTACCAGAGGACAACAGAGTTATCTAAGCAAAAACCCAGCATGAAAAGAGCTCTACTCCTGATTTCCTAGAATGCCTCCCTCACAAGGGATTACTTCTGATTCCTGGGACAGTGCACAGCAGTTCTCATTGAACACTTTAGAAGCACACTTGGTCACACCATACTCTGCCTTATTAAATGATCCATGTTGAAACCACTCATTTTCATTTCCCTTACATCAATAAATGCCAAAAAAGAGGGACAAAACTGTCATTTACCCTCAATTTCCTCAATAATGTAAGGATTAGAGGGAGTGTGTAAGAACTCCAAAATAATAGGCTAATACATTCCCTAGTTCCCCTTTCTCCTTTATTTCTCCTAGGAGGAAACCTATTTCAGATAATATCTCCTCTAAAGTTTAGGAGGCTGAAAAGGATTGCTGCCTAACCCCTCCCAAATAAAAATATTCTCAAACATAGTGATTTTCCGAGTAAATACCTTTCAAAGGGAAAGTGCTACATAGAATATAAAACCTTCCCTGGAGTGCTCATAAAGAGTAACATAAAAGTAGTTATAGGTGGAAAAAAAGAAATAATATTCTAAGAACTGCAAAAAAAAATCAAATACAAGTGATTCTACCCTCCCTGCGTCTTCCACCCATGCAAATGTATACACACAACAGACTCAACTACAAGTTTTAAGAGCAACTACAAAAAAGCAAAAAAGAAAATGAATCTTTGTTTCACAAAGAGAGAAAGTATGTCATAGAAAACAGCAGACCAAAGGAATCTTCCTTCACTTACTCAGTGAGCAAAAAACAATGCTTCTAGACCTATGGTAGGCATAATTCACATTTCATTTTCAGAAAATATTCTATTCAAACCAGCATAATAAAATGAGGTAATTATACGCCTATCCTAATTATCATTACATTAAGAATGCAAAACAAAATCTACAAAGCTGTTGCAATCAAGTTCTTAATGCAGAAAACTAAACATGATATTAATGGGGAGAAAAAAAATGTTTATGTAAAAATACTCCTTAAATCTTTCTTTTAAAAGCTTCCAAATGAATATTAAAATCAGTCATATCAAGTAACTTATACAAACTATAAAAACAATTACAATAAAGAGTATTCAGAAATCAAAATTACCAATTATATTTCAGACTTGATTCCACACACACAAAACTAAACCAGAGTTCATGAAGGTGTCTAAAATAATTCTTATACAGATTTTTTAAGAACAATAGTTCATTTCTTCAGAGATAGATCATCCATATCAAAATCCTCCTTGTTTAGCATCACCAATGGCTCCCCAAACATCAAAGACAAATTCATCTGGGAATGCAAAGTCTCCAAGAGTTTCATCAAGTGCCGTGGCAAATTCATCTGGATTATTTTTGTCCTTTCCAGCTTCAAACATTGTGGTGGCTGTCAAAGATAATTAAGGATAAATGAGATAGCATCATAGGACTGAGAAAAATGACCCCAGGAAGTGCTTTCCAAATATAGCATGCATACATATCATATATTCCTAGGCAAATTAAAACATGAGGATACTCATGTTCACTTCTCAAGGTAGCAAAGACATTTTTTTCAACAATCTGTCCACTGCACCAGGTTGGCAGCTGTCACCCACCGACCTCTCTCCTACCTTGAAGCTAATTGTTTGGGAACCTCCAGCATTCCTATGTGCAGAACAAGATATTCTGAAAGAAAACCTTCCCCACCTCCTAATAGTCATTAACTATCTAAGATGGAACAAAAAGAATACAACATCACATTTGTGGTACTCCTGCCAAAGAAGTGCAGCCTGAATGTAATTATGGGGAAAAAATATTGGACAAAACAAAATGGAGAAACATTCTAAAAAAAAAAAAAAACTTGCTTTTACCCTCCAAAGCATCAAGGTCATAGCAATCAAATAAATAAGGGATAACCATTTAAGTTGACACAGCATAGTATGTAAACACAACATATGATTTTTTAACACACTCTTTTGCTATCATACCTATTAAAGAACTTGATGAAAGATGAATAGGAATAAATATTGGATGGCAATAATGTCTCATCATTATTTGGTTGATTACATTTTGGTTCAATAGGGGAACACCTTTGTTATAGGAAATACACAAAACTTATTGGGGGACAATGGGATATCAGTAAGGTAACTTACTCTCAAATGGTTCAAGACAAAAATGTCTTTGCACTTCACTTGTAACTCTTCGTAAGTTTGGGATAGTTTCAATTAAAGGGGGAAAAACAGTAATAAAGAAGAGGAATTGAATCTTTTCTCTTAATTGTGGTCACCCTCCTTCACCTCTCAACCATGACTCTTTGATCATTAACCAGAAGTACTTCAAAAAGGAGGGAGGTCCTCAGCTATAGTGAACTGCTCCAGCCACAGATCCGGCCAAGTTACTCAGACTCTTCTAAAGCTCCCAAGTTTATTAAAACTTTTCCTATTTTTAAAGCATATGGCAAGATTGGGCAGGATGTATTAAAACCAATATTCCAAAATACTGGTTTGACTTTATAAATTTGAATATTGAAAAACAATTTGGAAACATGTGACAAAATCCTCAAAAATGTCATATCCATTAATCTACATAACATTTCCATCCTTGGGAATCTATACTTTAAAAATAAAATCTTGGGTTGGGTTGGATTTGAAGCTCAGAGGCAGTATGCATATAGCATGCAGAAAGCCCTGAGTCCAACCCCCAGTAACAACAACAAAAAAAAAGATATAAAATAAGAAAAATCTTAAAAATAGAAAATAATTTAGCATAAAGTTATAATTAAGTATCAAATAAATCTAAAATGTAGAAGTAATAAGTAATCTCTACTTCAATGAAATGTATGGGTGAAATATTTGATGAAATATTTTGAAATAATTTTAATATTTATGAACAATTTGTAATACCTTGGGGAAATATTGTCTCTTAGTATTTACTGAAAAAAGCAGTTATATACATTTTACATATAATCACAACTACATTTTTACAAAAATCTATACATGGAATAGATAAGTAGAAATAATAAACTAGGGGCTGGGAATGTGGCTCAGTGGTACAACATATGCCTAGCACATGTGAGGCCCTGGGTTGGATCCTCAGCACCACATAAAATAAATAAAATAAAGGTATTGTGTCCAACTATAACTAAAATAAATAAGTAAATAAATATTTTTTAAAAGAAATAATAAACTAATTATAGTAAAAAAAAAATGTGAGAACAGGGGATACAGCTCATTGGTAAAGTGCTTGCCTTGCATGCACAAGGCCCTGGGTTCAATCCCCAGCACCATCAAAACAAAAACACACAAAAAACAATTGTGTGTGTATGCACTATTAGGGGTGGAACCCAGAACCTTGTGCATGCTAGGCAAGTACTCTACCACTGAACTACACTCCAAGCCTTTTAGTAAAAGAAAATTTTCCACTGATACTGAGGATCAAACCCATAGCATCACACACACTGGACCAACACTCTATCACTGAGCTTTATCCCCTATAGTAAAATATTAATGGCAGAATCTAGATGACAAATGGAGAAGAATTCACTAAAACATCTTTCAACTATGCTTTATGTTTTAAAACTACAATAGTAGACTATTGGGAGAAACCTCTATGCAGACAATGAATAAAAACTTTTTAAAACACAGTACAGAAATTCAAATAGGAGAGGAAAAAAAATTTCTCATGAGTACTAAGTAGCTGTACTTGGGAAATTATTTTCTAAACCATTAAGGAATCCCTAATATCTATAACCGGTGCTTTATCTCTTTCAACAGGAAGTCATGGTACTATGTTCAAGAAAAGAAAAAAGCTCCCTCAAAAAAGAAACCAAATGTCCAGAAAAGTGTACTCCATCCATATTCCCCACAATCCTGGAGGTTCCATCTGCGTCTCTCTCCTCCTTAGATGTCCTGCCTTGGAGAACTGATCTGCAATCCCTATGTAAACAAGACCTTATGCAAAGAAGCCCCAGACCTTTGCTTCCACCCCCAACTTCTCATGAGCCCCACCCTCCCATGTCTGAATAAGTGATGGGCAATCCTTCCTACGTGTGCCATTAGCATCTCAAGCAGCAGATCCAGAAACCAAACATCATCTACCCCTCGGAAACTGCTACCCTTTCTCCTGTTTCCACCACTGTCCTCAGTGTGGTAAGCTCTCTCCAGTTATCCTCCTCTTCTCCCAGTCCTTCAGCCTATGAACCAATACTGCCTCTCCTTTGTTCTACCTTTGTAATTGCTCTGATTCTTTCCATTTCATTCCCACTGCCACCATGCCACATTTACTTCATCTCTAAGTCTTGTCATCAGCCTATTCCACATGGGCGCATTAGACTCTTCTTCCTAAAGCACAGCTCTGATTCTATAGATAATAGAACAAAAAGACAAGGAAGCTCTGTTCCACCTCTTGTCTTTCTCATCCCCATACATAAAAATATTCCTTGTGTCACCAACTTCTTCAAAACTCTAAACCCTAGTTTGTCATTCTGATCTGAAGCATCTCTGGCTCCCAAATTACCCTACTCCTCTACACTAATGCTATACCCTCAAAAATATGATTACTCAAAATGCTATTTTTAATCCTTCTGTCTTTGCCTGGGATATCTCCTAGTCACCAGCTCCACCATCAAAATCCTTTCTCTCCTTAAAGGCTCTCTCCTCGATGAAACTCTTTGTCCACAAATAGAAGTCATACATGAATTCTCTAAACCCTTCTGTAGGCATTTTTCATACTAAAGGTGCAAACAATCTAACTACAATCTTAATAAAATACAGATTCTGCTTCAATAGTTCTGCAGTTATGCCTGAGATTTTTCCCTTTCAACAACTCCCAGGTGGTACTGATCCCCAAGCAATAATGAAGTAATAACATCTTACAGCACAAATTCATAACAATAAAATTATAGAAACAGCCTAGATGCCTAGATGTCAGTGGATGAATAAATAAAGAAAATTGGTGTATACATTCACAGTGGAATATTAATCATCCATAAAGAAGAATGAAATCATACCATTGGCAGAAAAATAGATGAAATTGGAGATTATAATGTTAAGTGAAATAAGCCAGACTCAGAAAGGCAGTATTGCAGGTCTTCCCTCATATGTGGAATATAGGGATAGGTATGTTGACTGTGAAAGTAGAAAGGACATTGTTAGAAAAGAGTAAAGGAACTAGGGAGGGAAATGGAAAGGGTAAGAGAAAATACTGAATTAGTAGATATTATATGCATGTATGAATATGCCACAATGAAACCCATTATTTTGTATAGTTGAAATGCACTAAAAATAACATTAATAAAAGATCTTATAGTGCATATTCAACATTGCTCAAGTCTTAAAATCTACACTGATCTTATTTTTATTTACTGTTTTCTATCCTACTAAGGAATAAATTTCCAGTGGATCTTGATTAGCTTACTCAGTCTTTCATGCCCACAGGAACTAGTTCAGTGTTTTATATGTAGCAAATACTGGTGGATGAGTAGAGACAAAGGAGGTTTTGTAATTAAACTTAAATATTGTGCATATTGGGGGCTGGGGTTGTGGCTCAATGGTAGAGTGTTCTCCTAGCATGAGGCATGAAGCACTGGGTTCAATCCTCAGCACCACATAAAAGTAAAATAAAGATATTACGTCCACCTAAAAACTAAAAAATAAATATTTTTTTAAATATTGTGAAAGTTGGCACAGCTAGCATGTTTAGAGGAAGTGAAGTCCAAAACTCTGGACCCATAGCTAGGATGTGAAAGAAGAGCAGCCAAAACATAAATGGTAAGAATAACTGAAGTAAGACTCAAGTTCGGAATTTTGCTTAATCTACCTTTTAACTATTTCTTATAGGTCCATCAAATAGCATTTACTGAGTCAATTGCCTAAACACTTATGAGTAAAATATATGGAAGAAGAAATCTAGTTGAAAAAGAAATAAGATGCACACAGATAAAAGATATAAGAAAATGTATAGACTATTCAGAAGCAGAAACAATAGAATAGATGATGATTTTAAGTGTTGGAATAATCAATGTAGGCATTTACTGATGGGCTTGGAATCAATCAAAATCAATCAATCAATCAATCTATCTATCTATTTCCCTCCCTCCATTAATACACACACACACATACACACACACACACATACACACACACACACACACAACTGTAAAGAGGGAAAAACCCTTGGCACATATAGTACATTGTTTTTTATACCTCCAGGAACTCAGCAGTATTGTCTAGTGCACTGAGCTCAGGAATGTGCTGTGGACCTGGCCTGCTCTAACTTACAGAATCTCGGCTTTTGTTTCCTAATTATAAAATTAGAAAAAATACTGCTTCAAGATGCCCATACTACATCTTTGCAGTCAAAATGTATAGTCTCACTCATGCACTCACTCTGACATAGAAGAAAAATGGA